CGTCGCCGTCGCCGCTTTATAAATAATAACTATAAATGGTGTTTTCAAAACATATTTGAAAAAAAAACACCATGACATGGTGCTTTTCTAAAAAACACAACAAAAAAAACATCTCGATTACCAAACACACTAAATTATCCAGCTCAATTATTTGTTTATTTTTTTCCTCCAAAGCTTCTCCCGTACTACTCGCTCAGTTTCTAGAGAGCAGGAGGCAGCATCTGATGCATGCACATTTTTGAACTACGGTTCCATCTGGATGGATTACTCTATTGGGTGGCTCAATTTTAAATTTTTAGTAACACAGGTTATGGATGATCATGAGCTCATTATTAATGATAAATGGCATTAGTGTCATGATTATAATTGATTTTGGTAGATGGGATAGGGGACCGACAAATAATTTCACCATTTTGATGCTGAATGATCCACAATTTACACAAGGCGGTTATCTAAAGCCGAGAAACTCGGAGTGGTATCTACTTACTGCAATAATAAAGCACTAAAATAATGCGTTTAGCCTTACATGTAGGGGTGTTAACGGAGCGGATACGGCTCGGATATGGTACTTATCATATCCATATCCGCTTACCCATTTCGAATACGGATACGGATATACGTCGGTAAGAAAAAATTATATCCATATCCGCCAAAATCAGATACGGTTACAGATATAGATGCGGATATATAAACGGATATGCATGCGAATACAAAAAGGATATGAGAAAACTAGATGGTATTTGGAAAAATATATTCATATGATACAAAAAGAGTTCGTTAATATGTTCATTATGATTGAAAAGCTAAGATTAGACATCTTGATCATCAAAATTAACCACAAATCCATAATCTAATAATCAAAACTATCGTAAGAGTATGACCAATATGTATTCGGATATTTTCGGATACAGATACTGATATTTCACTACAAAACCATATCCGTTACCATATCCTATCGGTTATAGATTTGAGTAACCATATTCGTATCCTAACGGATACGGTTACGGATATTTCCTCGGATACGGATACAGTTTGGCACCCCTACTTACATGAGGTTGCTAATTCAAATAAAAATAAAAATAAGAAAAAAAGTCTTTGTACAAACTTAATTAGCAGAATGGTCTTTTCTTCAAACTTGATTAACTTGAGGGAGGGATCAATTCACATTTAATATTCATTATTCATATAGCCCGGATTTTGCAATTGGTCCCACCAAACCATCACATGATAACAAAACGACTCGGTCAAAAGATTAAACCCAATCAACTTGCTAAAGCGTGGGATATCTATACTCATCGTACTTAGCCTAGATTGCGACTCTAAGTCTGAACCATAAAGCCCAAAAAGGCAACTAATGCCCATGACGATCGAGCTCGTTTGAGTTTGGTATCATGCCTTGCTCCAAACCGGCCTAATGTTATAGCGGTTTGTCTAATCAAATATGATTGATTTGAATTATATCAAATTCATAACTTACCAAGTTAGGAGATATCAAATCTATAACTGATCTCTCTAATTGCCAACTTTCATAACTTCTCTAATCGTAATACCCATCACATGAAACTTCCTTCGCCAAGGAGATCTTCACATGCGAATTTTTTTGCTCGCCAAGTAAATATCAGATAAAGGGATCAAATCTCATATTTCTGTAAGGCTTCGCATTGTCGAGGTTCAATGTATGAACCATATTCTAAACCCTAACCTACATACATATTGCTTTGACCTTTATTATAAGAGGCTTATTTAGGCATCAAAGGGGCATTGGTGGACAACCCACCATTGTCAATTTGACACTTCCACTGTGCTACATATGCTACATCAAGACTCAGGTCGCCATCAGCTATCTAAGGAGATCAAATGGGCCCTCTACATCGAGTTCAATTTTATAAACTTAATCTATTAAAATTTTTCCTTGCATATAACAATCTTTATATTAAATTTGATATAATAAAAAAAAAGCTCATAAAAAGGATCAATTTATCTTTGTCTTTTCTTCATTTTTAAGAAAGCAAGGGACTTAGCGAGACTTAAAATTATAGATAAAAGATGTAGGTATAAGAGTTTGCAAATGACACTGTCTATGACTTGTTCACATCTGACAAATAAGAAATTCATGGATTAGAGGCATGAGGATTCTGATGATGTACATGGAAACCCCAAAATCAACGACTCGAGCAAAATGACGAATACTACTTTGATGTTGTCAAATACTTCGTGTTAAAATCTTTGTTTATCTCTCTCTTTTCGGAGCATTCAAAACGGGCAGAATAATTGTGAAATCCCATTCTTTATGTTAACTATTGGGTATGTTACACTACCAATAATACTAGGGATTAGTTTGTTTTTCATGTAAATCAGACTTCATAAAACAATTTTAATATATAATACTATCAATGTAGTTTTTATTATGACTAGTTTATGACTAAGCACACCCTAAATGGTTCGGTAAGTGGGGGATTAAAGAGGGGAAGATAAGGTAAGGGAACATGCAACAAGCTGCAAGGAAGTATATACATCATGTGCTTCTTGTTTGGTACGAGAGGAAGAGAGAAGAAATACATCCATTTGTAGTTCATTCCCCCTACCCCTCCCCACCCCCACATCTTAAATCCTCCAATTTAGAGGGATTATTCTCTCTTCTGATTTTCAGTTCATTTTAAGTTATCCCCTACTCTTCTTTACTTCCCTTACTCTACTTTTCCTTAGGCCTGTCCATCCGGGCCGGCCCGGCCCGGCCCGGCCCGGAAATCCGGGCCCGGGCCGGGCAAAACCGGGACCCGGACCCGGGTACCCTGGGCCGGGTCCGGGCCCGACCGGGCCGGGTTCCGGGCTGGCCCGGCTGATTTTCTTTTTTTTTATTTTTTATTTTTCCCAAAATTTTTCAATTTTATTTAAATTTTAAAAAGATAAGAAAAATAATAAAAACAATAATTTTATTAATTACTTAAAATGACATAAATTACAAATAA